CTAAGGACACAATGAGTCACATACCTAAGGTTATAGGGCCAAGCTATATCACCCATAGCTCTTGATTTGTGTAAAAGTTAACAATCTGGGATAGTTAGCAGAAGATTAATTCTTCTCCTCCCACACACCTTCAAAACCATGAGTTTACACAACAGTGCTACCTAATGCCCATGTGTATTTAACCATGTTGTATGGCTGTAATACATGGGAAAATCCCATTGGAGGAAAATTCCACTTAGGGTTAGGGTTAGGTCGCCATGAACTTGGAGAGCAATATGGACATCGCCAACAAATTTGGGGTGCTTGGGTATGGTTGGGAGTGCACTGACTTTTCTAGGCTGCCCTATTTATGTTTCCTGGTAAAATTCTATTCTATTCTATTCTATTCTATTCTATTCTATTCTATTCTATTCTATTCTATTCTATTCTATTCTATTCTATTCTATTCTATTCTATTCCATATTCCATATCTATTCTATTCTATTCTATTCTATTCTATTCTATTCTATTCTATTCTATTATTCTATTCTATTCTATTCTATTCTATTCTATTCTATTCTATTCTATTCTATTCTATTCTATTCTATTCTTCCATTCCATATTCTATTCTATTCTATTCTATTCTATTCTATTCTATTCTATTCTATTCTATTCTATTCCATATTCTATTCTATTCTATTCTATTCTATTCTATTCTATTCTATTCTATTCTATTCTATTCTATTCTACTCTACTCTACTCTACTCTACTCTACTCTACTCTACTCTAAGCTACCCTACCCTACCTTACCCTACCCTACCCTACCCTACCCTATACATTACTCTACTCTATTCTTAAAAACTCCAGTGATTGAGCGCTCACAACTTCCAAAGTTAAGTGATCCTACTGATTGTTCTCACTGTCAGGAAATTCCTCCTTAGTTCTCCTTGCTTCTCTCCTTACTTAGTTTCCATCCATTGCTTCTTGTCTTCTGGGGCTTTGGGAAATAGGTTGACCCCCTCCTCCCTTCTTTGTGGTCCTCTCCCTTCTTTTGCTTTGTCTGTACACTGAGAGCTTCTGCACTGGAGACAAATTCCTTGTGTGTCTAATCACACTTGGCCAAATAAAGCATTCTAGGTCCACCCTTAGCTGATGTTGCTCCTGAGAATATCATGGGGAGAATCAAGGATCAGAATGTTTTGGCTTGAAACAGGAAGCCATGTTTGGCTATTTTTTCATGAATCACAGCTAGCAGATATGAAGAAATACTGCAGTACATAGTACTGTTTGCAATGGTGTAGTCTTCTCCCCGGAAGCTGGATTGTAAAGGATTCTTCTGCATAGATGCCTCCTTAACCGGTGTTGTTTTTGGCTACTTGCCTCCAAAGGCTTACTGAAGTGCGTAAATCTTGAACAGTAATAAACAACTGGATCTGTTAGTTGACAAGTTAATGTTTAACAGGCTAACAAACCTGTGATGGAGTGCGGTTTTTGACTGATTGGGAAAGGCCTTTCATAACGTGGGCTTTTTGTCTATGTGTGGGCATTTTGCACCAGGAACATTAATAATAAAATAATATTTTCGAAAAGAATCTTGGCTAGGTCGAGCTGCTTTAGGTAAATTTGCACCTTGGCTGGATTTCGGTGGGAACTTCTGACAGCTTCTTGGTCACTAATGATTTTATAAACTGGTTGAAATGTTCCTGTCGATTGATAATTGACTAGTAATCCCCCTCTATTTGCTGCTTAATAGATGCAAGGTCAGTTAACAGCAATTTAAAAAGGCTGCAAGGAATTGTTTTCTGGGATTTTATATATATATATATATATATATATATATATATATATATATATATATATATATATATATATATATATATAGATAGATAGATAGATAGATAGATATAGATATAGATATAGATATAGATATAGATATAGATATGAATGAATGAATGAATGAATCTGGAAAGATCACTGTAAGTAGGATTGGCTTCACCACAGAGGCACCCAGAATAACCAGCAAAGGTGCCAATTGCCAAGAAAATTTGCATTTCAGTTTTGGCAGCTGCCAAAAAAGCCAACACAGTGCTAGGCTGCATTAACAGAGGGATAGAATCAAGATCACGTGAAGTGTTAATACCACTTTACAAGCCTTGGTAAGGCCACACTTGGAATCCGGCACCCAGTTTTGGTCACCATGATGTAAAAAAGATGTTGAGACTCTAGAAAGAGTGCAGGGAAGAGCAACAAAGATGATCAGGGGACTGGAGGCTAACACTTAACAAGGAACAGTTGCTGGAAATGGGTATGTCTAGTTTAACAAAGAGAAGGACGAGGGGGGACATGATAGCAGTATTCCAATATCTCAGGGGCTGCCACAAAGAAGAGGGAATCAAGCTGTTCTGCAAAGTGCCTGAAGGCAGGACAAGAAGCAACGGATGGAGACTAATCAAGGAGAGAAGCAACTTGGAACTAAGGAGAAATTTCCTGACAGTGAGAACAATTAACCAGTGGAACTACCTGCCTCCAGAAGCGGTGAATGCTCCAACACTGGAAGTCTTTAAGAAGAGACTGGACAGCCATTTGTCTGAAATGGGATAGGGTTTCCTGCAAGGTCCTTTCCAACAACAACAACATAATAATCATCATCGTCGTCGTCGTCATCGACATCTAAGAAAATGACCCATACCAACCAAATTTTGTTGAAATTTCTTTATTTAAACCAATAGGATAGGATAGGATAGGATAGGCGCCCCTTTTATTACCATGTCTGGGCATCTCCCATTCAACATGGGAGATATTCACAAAAATCTCGCAGGAAATGTTGGTGATTTTTGTCCCAAAGATACTTTTTCAAATGGCAACTGGACCTTCATTGTTGGTTTGTTTTTTTGGAAGAATCTCCATAGACAGTTGGCAAGTTTTATTTTACAAGGGGCTAGGCTGACTTCTCAGAAAGGGATCTGGTGAGTGTCATATTAGCTGAGTCATAATGCTATATGTATGGACACAGATGTGGGAAGGGTGCATGAATCCTGAACATTAATCAGAAACAATCTGGATATACAAAATCATTTTCATCCATTCCTCATTCCTTAGGATTTTCCATGTTCTGTTCCTTTTGTCTTTGTTCATTTTTCTTTCCAAAATTTTAGAGACTTCATTGGGCAAAACAGTCAACAATTAATCAAAAAGATGGTTATTTTTGGTTTGGTTATTTTTTCCTCCTATACATGAATTCTACTTTGCCCATCCTTTTCTATCTAACTCCTCTTATTCATTTGCAAGAGTTGGTTGTAAGATGGACTGCTCTGCAAATGTTTTAAATAAATACATACATAAATTTGAATTCACTTATATAATGTCTATGCACCTGTTGTGTAAACTAAAAGATTTGAAGTTGTGTAGGCAATTGGAAGAGAATAAAAGAATAACAGAGTTGGAAGGGATCTTGGAAGTCCCAACCCTATACCATTTCAGACAAACAGTTGTCCAATCTCTTCTTAAAAACTTCCAGAGATGAAGCACCTACAACTTCTGATGGTAAACTCTTCCACTGGTTAATTGTTCTCACTGTTAGGAAATTTCTCCTTAGTTCCAGGTTGCTTCTCTCCTTGATTAGTTTCCATCCGTTGTTTCTCGTCCTGCCTTCAGGTGCTTTGGAGAATAGGTTGACCCCCTCTTCTTTGTGGCAGCCCCTCAAATATTGGAAGACTGCTGTCATGTCACCCCTAGTCCTTCTCTTCATTAAACTAGTCTACGCCCAATTCCTGCAATCGTTCTTCATATGCATCCAGTTTACTAGAAGGATGAATATTTTGCTAACAGAGGCCATTAACCAGTAGAATTCAACCACTGAATTGGATGCCAAGTGACAACATCAGTTAAAATATCATTATCCAATAAAAATCTCTTTAACCAAGCAGTAGCCTTATTTTTGCTGTATGTGTGTAATACACAAGACAATTCCGAATACCCACACTCTCTAAACCTCTTCAGAAAAAAAGGCTTACTTAGGCAAACAAATTTATTTTTTTACCCCATGCAAAGAGTTGTCAGAGCAATCGTTCTTCCTTCTCTTATTTTTATCATAACTTTTCAACTCCCCAAACTGGAAAAAAAAAAGATTTATAACTTTCATTATTTCAGGCACAGAGAGACACCGGTGCTGACCTCAGCTTCTTAATGCTGAGGTCGTTCATCACTTGGGGCTGATGGGATATTTATTTAGATCGGGGTTTTACATGTCAGTCATAAAATATGGAAATGCTTGCCAAGTTGATTTTTTTTTTTTTTTAAGATTCGAGGGAGTTTTGTCATTGTGTTTGCCTGCTTTTTGAGAGATCCTTCAGATCTGATTCCCGAAGTTCTCTCTTCTGGTTTGAATTTCAGAATGCTTATTCGCCGTTATTTTTTTTTTTTCCTGTGAAAACAAAACGAAAATGAAAATTATACTGAGGGGAGCTAACAGCTTTTTAAAAAATAAACACTGTTGTTAAAAATCAGTGCTAAAAAAGTAAGTTAGCAATTATTCAATAGGAATACAGAAGTCAAAATTCTGTTTTCTTATTTTCTAATTCTTTTCTTTTTCCATTTTTTTATATTTTTACTGTATTGTAACGTACTAACATAGCAACTTCCCCTGTTTCATGGAGAAATAAATATTGGGACATAAACAGGGTATTCTTAAGCTTTGCTCTATTATGGAGGAAAGTTCAGAAGTTAAGGCTGGAATCACACAGCTGGAATCTAATTTGTTGCACAAACAAATTAGCTTGTAAAAACTAGCCAACATTTGTGGCTTACTTAAAAAAGGAGTCAGCAAAATTGTAACTTGGTGCAATGTGCACATCCACCCAGTTGTAAAATGAAGTTGGGAGATGGGAGTCAAAGTTTATTCACTGACTTGGTATTCAGATTTCTTTTGTGAGGTTGTGGTTTCCTTGTTCTTTTAAAACTTCTACAGGGGAAAATTTGTTCTTGTATTTGAAGAGGTTTTTTTGTTTGTTTGTTTGTTTCAGAAGATGATGGTGGTGCCCTTGAAGAAAAATATGCAGCTGGCAGAGATCCAGATGTTTGGCATGTTGGCCTGAAAGTTGCTTGGGATATAGAGACACCAGGCTTAGCAGTTCCACTTCATCAGGGAGATTGTTACTTTATGCTTGGTAAGTTCAAACACAAAGTTGATGTTCTATTTTATTCTATTCTAGTCTAGTCTAGCCTATTCTATTCTCTATTCTATTTTATTCTATATTCTATTCCAGTGATGGTGAACCTTTTAGAGACTGAGTGCCCAAACTGCAGCCCAAAACCCACTTATTTATCGCCAGGTGCCAGGTGGGCGTGGCTCACTGGGTGGGCATGGCTGTGGTGGTCATGGCAGATTGGGTGGGTGTGGACCAGGTGGGCGTGATCACCTCGATGTTGCTCGTGGGGGGGACGCCTGTGGGGGCCGGGCAGGGTTGGGGGAGATCCAGGGGATCTCTGGCAGGTGGGGCAGTGGGCAGGAGGCTCGTCCTGCGGGGTGAGGCGAGGCAAGGCGAAGCAGGGCGGCGGTGCCATTGTCACAGGCAAGGTGAGGCCGGGGTGGCTGCTGCCTGACACCATTGGCCCCTGCACACAGAGGCCACCGAGCGCATGGGTGCTGGGATGCATCCGGCCATGTGAGACCTCGGCGAGTTAGTGGGCGGCTGGTTGAAGAGGGACGGTTGCCATCTTCGGGGCATGGCGCACATGCCCATGGAGAGGGCTCTGAGTGCCATAAGTTCGCCACCACTGTTCTATTCTATCATGATTCTATTCTATTCTATTCTATTCTATTCTATTCTATTCTATTCTATTCTATTCTATTCTACCCTAATCACTATTCTATTCTATTCTACTCTACTCTACTCTACTCTACTCTACTCTACTCTACTCCATTCCATCTCTATTCTATTCTATTCTATTCTATTCTATTCTATTCTATTCTATTCTATTCTATTCTATTCTATTCTATTCTATTCTATTCTATTCTATTCTTCTAATGATCTAAGGAGAAATTTCCTGACAGTGAGAACAATTAATCAGTAGAACAGCCTGCCTCCAGAAATCGTGGGTGTTCCATCACTGGAGGTGTTTAAGAAGAGTTTGGACAACAATTTGTCTGAAATGGTGTAGCTCTCCTGCTTGAGCAAGGGGTTGGACTAGAAGACCTCCAAGCTCCCGTCCATTATTCTGTTATTCCTGGGCCTTTCATGAAAAAACAGGGACTATGACCCAACTTTAATTATGGTCAAAAAGTGGGCATATTGTATATTCCAACCCTCCAGAGATAAATATTATTGCTACGCAGGGAATGGTTTATTGATGTTTAGCTTAGTGTTTTTGGCGAATCGACCAAGTGATGACTTGCAAACTGTGCTTTATGGTTTAGCAACCCACTGCGGTTAATCACACGATGGGCTTGCACAATATTTAAAGTTGTACTTAAATGATATTTCCTCCACTTCTAGAACAAGGAGAGTTTTTCTGTGGGTGAATGAGGGGATGGGATCATAGTTGGGAGAAAATAGCCGGAGTTTCCCCTAAGACCGTTAGCTGTGTTTTTGCCATAAATTATGACGCTAAGCAAAATGACTTTCACCAGAAAAAAATGTGCATTGCACAAATACACAGTATATTATGCATGCAAATTATAACTGCATTCTGCATCATAGCTTGGCCCCTTGAGGAACAATCCTGCTTAGATCATACAGTGTAACTTATCCCAGCAGTAGGTGTCCGTTGTTGCATAAGGCAGAATAATAATAACAACAACAACGTGGCAGTGCCTGGAGACAGCAGAATAGACGAGAAAGAACTGGAGAAGATAACAAAATACAAAGACCTACAAATAGAAATAGAAAGACTGTGGCAAAAGCAAGCAAGGATAGTACCAATAGTAATAGGCTCCTTGGGTGCAATCCCAAAACAACTGGAGCACCACTTGAACACCATCATTGGCATTGACAAATTCGCCATTAATCAATTGCAAAAGGCGGCCTTACTAGGAACTGCTTCCATCCTGCGACGATATCTGTAATACCAGCAAACATCCACATCTGTCTATCCCAGGTCCTTGGCAAGGACTCAATAGGTAGACCAAAATGCCAAATCCAGTCTGAACATCTAGCTGACTGTGCGATGATCAATAATAATCATAAGAATAAGAATAAGAATAAGAATAAGAAGAAGAAGAAGAAGAAGAAGAAGAAGAAGAAGAAGAAGAAGAAGAAGAAGAAGAAGAAGAAGAAGAAGAAGAAGAAGAAGAAGAAGAAGAAGAAGAAGAAGAATGGCTTTGGAAGAATATCTGAAGAACAATGATGAAGATGCACTGAAATTAGTATATCAGGAAGGCTTACTGACTACTGGAGAGACCAAACTGGCCTACAAGAAAGACCAATGAAGAACAGAATAGAGGCATGGGAAGACAAAGCACTACATGGCCAATATATGAAAAAAATAGCTGGGAAAGCAGATAATAATAAAACCTGGCAATGGCTAAGAGCAGGAAAATTGAAGAAAGAGACCGAGGGACTAATTCTGGCTGCACAAGACCAAGCCTTAAGGACAAATGCATACAAAGTCAAAATTGAGAAGACAGCAAAAGACAGTAAGTGCCGCCTTTGCAAAGAAGCTGAAGAAACAGTGGACCATTTGGTAAGCTGTTGCAAGAAGATTGCACAGACTGATTACAAGCAGCGGCATGACAAAGTAGCAACAATGGTGCATTGGAAGATCTGCAAAAAATATCATTTGCCTGTAAGCAAAAACTGGTGGGATCATAAAATAGAGAAAGTCATAGAAAATGATAAAATTTAACTGCTCTGGGACTTCAGAATTCAAACAGACAAGCACCTGCAACATAACACCCCAGACTTAACAATTGTCGATAAGAAAGACAAAAAAAGTCTGGCTAGTGGACATGGCAGTGCCTGGAGACAGCAGAATAGACGAGAAAGAACTGGAGAAGATAACAAAATACATCTGCCTATCCCAGGTCCTTGGCAAGGACTCAATAGGTAGACCAAAATGCCAAATCCAGTCTGAACATCTGGCTGACTGTGCGATGATCAATAATAATAATAATAATAATAATAATAATAATAATAATAATAGTAGTAGTAGTAGTAGTAGTAATAATAATAATAATAATAATAATAATAATAATAATAATAATGTTGGAAGGGGCCTTGGAAGCAAAATACATGTCGGGCCTGTTGAAGCTACAGCTGTTTCTTATAGATCAAAGGGTTGCTGGAAGGTTAGGGGCTTAAACACAGCTGGGGGATAAATTCAACCGGGCCTCCCTTTGGTGGGGAGTAAGATGGAGTAAATATCCTCAGAAGCCTGAGTGAGTTAGACTTCAAGGCACAGTCAAAACTTTCTTCCCCGTTAACCAGAAACGGGGAGCACCTTTGAGTGGAGTTGATGGGTGGTTAGAAAATTACAGGCTTAAACCGGGGAAACATCTTTGATACGGCTACCTTCCAGCGGGTTGACTTCGGAAACCTGACCCCACCTTTGAGCCTGCGTACCCCCTGCATCTATTTTTTTTTCAAGCAGCCCCCCCGCTCCCCCAAAATCTATTTATTGCCACTCAGAATTTGATCTTGTGAGATTTCTAAGCTTACAACGGTCTTGTTCCATTTTCCGTTGATTAATTACGCGAAGTTTCTCTCCTCCCCCCCCCCTTCCCCATGCTCAGTTCTCTTAAACGTGCCTCTTCTGGCAACTGTAGAATAATTTCTTATTTTAGGGGCTTTTAGGAGTATTGACTTTTTTTTTTTTTGCAATAAAGACGGGATAGTTTTGCAACAGTGTTGGGTGATTCTCGACGTGAGACGTTGGCTAAGGTTTGACCCACGTGGTGACTTTCCTTGCCACCGTTGTTACTGCAAGGGAATCACTGCAGTTGTTAATAGTTGTTAGATAGTCTTCGACTTACGAACACAATTGAGCCCAATTATTGCTAAGTGAGACAGTTGTTAGGTGTAATTTTGGTCCATCTGATGACCTTTCTTGCTGAAGTTGTTAAGTGAATCCCTGCCATTGTTAAGTTAGTAACAGGGTTGTTGAGTGAATCTGGCATCCCCCCCATTGACTTTGCTTGTCAGAAGGTCATAAAAGGGGATCTCGTGACCCTCCCGGGATGCTGTGACTGTCATAAATATGAGTCAGTTGCCAAGTGTCTGAATTTTGATCACGTGACCATGGAAGACGCTGCAACGGTCGTAAGTGTGAAAAACGGTTCTAAGTCCCCTTTTTCAGTGCTGTTGTAACATTGAACGGTCACTAAATTAACTGTTGTAGCTTGAGGACTAGCTGAATTCCCAGAAACAGCCTTTACCATGGAATGGAATGGAATATAGAATGGAATGAATTATATAGAATGGAATAGAATACAGAATGGAATGGAATGGAATGGAATGGAATGGAATAGAATAGAATAGAATAGAATAGAATAGAATAGAATAGAATAGAATAGAATAGAACAGAATTAGAATTAGAATTAGAATAGAATTAGAAATAAGAATAAAATAGAATAGAATAATAATAGAATAGAATTAGAAATAATAGAATAGAATTAGAAATAAGAATAGAATAGAATAGAATAGAATAGAATATAGAATAGAATAGAATAGAGATGGAATAGAATAGAATAGAATAGAATAGAATAGAATAGAATAGAATAGAATAGAATAGAATAGAATAGAATAGAACAGAATTAGAAATAATAGAATAGAATTAGAAATAAGAATAAAATAGAATAGAATAATAATAGAATAGAATTAGAAATAATAGAATAGAATTATAAATAAGAATAGAATAGAATAGAATAGAATAGAATAGAATAGAATAGAATAGAATAGAATAGAATAGAATAGAATAGAATAGAATAGAGGTCTTCTAGTCCAGCCCCCTGTTCAAGCAGGCGAGCCTATACCATCTCAGACAAGTATCTTTCTAGCCACTTCTTAAAAACCTCCAGTGATGGAGACACCCACGATTTCTGGTGGCAAGCTGTTCCACTGGTTAATTGTCCTCACTGTCAGGAAGTTTTTCCTTAATTCACCTTTGGTCAATGGTGATCAGGTGACCACAGGATCCTCAACTTTCATAAATAGCACCTGAATTTTGATCAGGTGACTGTGGGGAGGCTGCCACAGTCATAAGTGCGAGGATCCCTTGTCTTCTAATTTCCTTAAGTTCTCTTCAGGGGTGAATACTTACATGTACTTCTATGGTCTTTTCCTAGATGACCTGAATACGACTCACCAGCATTGTGTGCTGGCTGGCCGGCAGTCAAGATTCAGCTCCACACACCGAGTGGCAGAAGTGAGTAACAAAACTGTGGGAGCGGCTATCGAGGGCTGAGAACTTGGACACAGCAACTAAAGATAATCCTAAAAAGTGCAAGGACAAATTCACCCTGTTCTTTGCAGCAATGCATAAGAAAGCTATTGTCCTTTCCTGATTTTTTTTTTTAATTTGCTTTTTAACTCCCTCCTACAGTCTGAGTTGCTGAGATCTTTTTTGATACAGGGAAGTCCCCTATTTATGACCAGAATTGGCACTAGAATTTCCATGGCTAAGCAAGGCATGTGCCTGGTTTTATGTCCTTTCTGCCACAGTCATTTGAATCACCATAGTTAAGGGAATCAAACGGTTGTTAAATGAGCCATTGCGGTTAATCAAGCAGTTGTTAAGCGGATCTAACTTCCCCCATTAATGTGGCTTGTCGGACGTTAAGTGAGGAGGTCACAAATGATATTCGTATGACCTGGGATGCCACAACCGTCGCATATTCAGGTAGTGCTCAACTTAACGAGCACAGCTGAGCCCAAAGTTTCTGTTGTTAAGTGAGACATTTGTTAAGGGAGTTTTGCCCCCATTTTACAACCATTCTTGCCTCAGTTGTTAAGGGAATCACTGCAGCTGATAAGTTAGTAACCTGGTAGTTAAGTGAAACATGATTCAAGTGTGTTGTTTAAGAAAACACAACACATACAAACAAGTCTAGTAGGTATAGAAGAACAGGCAGAGCTGGAGGCTGGAGTTAAATGAGTCATTAGCCTTGAGTCATTACATGGCCACAAATGATCGAAGTCCAACCCCTCTTGAATTAGGTTGACCCTTATCTAGAGCTAATATTGAATTTTAGTTGACTAGACTCTTGTGCATAGGCTGGAGCAATAAATCTTAATTGCAACTTAAGGTAGGGTCCTAATTCTTTGCCCTTGACCTTAGAACAGTGGTTCTCCACCTGTGGGTCGGGACCCCATTTGGGGTCAAACGACCATTTCACGGGGGTCGCCAAACAACGCAGTCCGCCATTTTTCCCCCCTTTTCCTTAGCTGTGCTACTCCCTTTTATTCTATTGGCTTTTGAAAGCCAATAGAATAGACTCTCTTGAATAGAGTCTAATTCTATTGGCTTTCAAAAGCCAATAGGAATTGTCCAGGCTGTCTCTGCCCTGCTGAGCCCGCCAAAAGTCCCATTCTGCAAACGGTGCTGCACCAGTTGAGTAATCCTCAACTTACGACCGGTTGAGTAGTCCTTGACTTACGACCAGTTGGGGGTCGCAGCATTAAAAAGGTTGAGAACCACTGCCTTAGAAGAACCAATAGTTCAAATACCCTCTGAATTCCTGGATAGGACTTGTACCGATGTGGACTTAGTTTACAGTGGTTTGTTGAGCAGCCCTTCGTGAGTTGTAAGTGATGGTTCAGAGATCTCAGGGACAAGGTTCACCTCAACCACTAAATTACAACAGGATTTACTTGGCTTTGGCTTTCTGTTGTGGTAAAATCCCAGTCTTTTTTTTCCACACTAACTTTCTTTCTCTTGTTCGTCAATCCCAACAGTGCTCAGCAGGGACCCTGCCATACATTCTGGACAAGTGCAAGGCAGCGCTGGAGAATTTGAGCACCGATCTTAATTTGAAGGGCCCATCCCTGAAATCATTGGAGATCGGAGATATAACACGGGTGGAAAAAACTCACAATGAGGTAAGAAGAGGGAAGGGGTGGCAATTCTGCAGCTGCTAGAAAAGCACAGGAATTGTTCCTTTCTCTCAGCCTTGTTTTAGGTCTCCTCGCAAGCATTTAGCATCCAGAAGGGCAAGGCCTCAGGGTGCTGCTATAGGTTAACAGACGAATTATAGCACATCTATCGGTAGAACAGAAGATTTTTTACAACATTCTTAACGTAACTGCATCCCCAGAAGTATTTCAGGGTATTTTCTTGGTTCTTTTTCTTGTGACCCCAAAATACAGAAAGAAGGAAGGAAGGAAGGAAGGAAGGAAGGAAGGAAGGAAGGAAGGAAGGGGAGGGGGGAAGCAAGGGAGGGAGGGCAAAAGGAAGGATGAAGGAAAAGGAAAGAAGGAAGGAGTACAGGGAAGAATGATAAAGGGAAGGGAGGGAGGAAATGAAGGAAGGGAGGGAGGGCAAAAAGGAGAATGAAGGGAAGGAATAAGGGAGGGAGGGAGGGAAGGAGGGAGGGAGGGAGGGGGGAAGCAAGGGAGGGAGGGCAAAAGGAAGGATGGAAAAGGAAAAAAGGAAGGGAGGAGTACAGGGAGGAAGGAAGGAATAAGGAAGGAAGGGAAGGAAGGAAGGAAGGAAGGAAGGAAGGAAGGAAGGAAGGAAGGAAGGAAGGAAGGAAGGAAGGAAGGAAGGAAGGAAGATCGATCTTCAGTGACCTCCTCCAGCTTCAGATCTTCTCCAGCTACCTTAGGGCGACACCCTGCAGCACCCTGAACTCTGAGTATTCTGGAAGTTATATCCTCACACATCTGGATGGCGCAGAATTTGAGGAAGCTGCTCTGGAGGCTTTGATCTCTAAGCCTAGTTTCATCAAAGAGGCAGTATAAATCACCATCAGCTGCCCACCTGGCTTTAGTTGACTGGGAAATGTGAAGTAGGACTGGATTCTTGGCAAAAAGGATGAATCTGAGAACAGATTGTCAGGCCCAGGATGTGAAGGTTTTTTTAGAGTGTACAAATTACTTTATGGAGGTAGTTTGGCTGTTGGCTGATCCAGAGAGCCTTGGATTTCAGCTTTTGGTTATTAAAAAGAAAAGAAAGAACAGCCCCTGATTATCTTTCAGGTAAATGTGCTTCTGTGATTCACTCCCACAGTGACCCGTGGCCTAAAACTCTGTCTCTCTAGAGGACTTTCCAAATGAATAAAAGCTTCATCATTAGAATCTGTGGGTAGCCTTTTCTCTTTCTGGCTCTTTCTTGATCTGGTGCCTTCTTCAATGTATTGACTGAGGACGAGTGGAGCTGCAGTCTATCACTGGCCCACTTGATTGAGGAAAGCTGTAGTAGTTATTGCTGGTTGCTTATAAAACCAGGAAATTGTGATCCTCTGCACTACTCAACTGAGCAGTGAAAAGAGGATTGATACTTTTCTGTATCTCTCCCACAGCCACAGTGTTCCTATTCCCCCACTCCCATCAACACTGACAGGGCAAACTACTTGTATATAAATCGAGAGCAAACCCCACTCCCTTCTAACACTGATGATGTTACCTAGTAGGGTCATGAAATGTCTGCAAAGAAACAACCAAGCTCAGAGAGCATGAAGGACCTCCCCCCTCCTCCACAAATCCCAATTCCCTTCTAGCACTGATGATGTTACTTAGTTGGGTAATGAAATGTCTGCGAGGAAACAACCAAACTCAAAGAGCACCAAGGACCCCACAGTCTTCCTCCTTCCCCCCCCCCTGCCACAAACCCCAATTCCCTTCTAGCACTGATGATGTTATTTAGTTGGATAATAAAATGTGCTAGAAAACAAAGTGGGTGGTGGGCTTGGGAAACTAGATGCAAAATTTCTAGGGGAAAAGCATAAAATGAACGACTTTTTTTTGGTTAGGGTTAATTCCTGGGATATATTTTTGTTCCTTTTTTTCCCCCATGGAAATCAAGACCAATAATAACAATAGCCCTTATATACCGCTTTACAGCCCTCTCTAAGCGGTTTACAGAGTCAGTCTATTGCCCCCTCCCAACAATCTGAGTCCTCATTTTACCGACTTCGGAAGGATGGAAAGCTGAGTCAACTTTAAGCCAGTCAGGATCGAACTGCTGGCGTGAGCAGTAAGTTAGCCTGCAGTACTGCATCCTAACCACTGCTCCACCACGGCTCATAATGTGTTTAAATAGTGTGCTTATGGTTGGAAATTACATAATAAGCATCATCAGGCTTTCATTGGAGAGCTGGGAGGGGGGAAGCTTGCAACCAACTCACCGTGTCTTCACCTAAGGCTACTTGAAGGACAGTGTACAGGACGCATGTTGGGCAACTGAACTACTTCCACATGACTTGCCTTCGTAGAATTCTGAGGATCCGGTGGCAGGATAAGATACCAGACACAGATGTCCTCTCCAGAGCAGGCCTACCATCAGTTTACACTCTGTTGATGAAAGCCCAGATGCACTGGGCAGGCCATGTTGTAAGGATGCCAAATCATCGCATCCCTAAACAGCTCTTCTATGGTGAGCTGTCTCAAGGAAAGCGATCGCACGGGGGACAAAAGAAGCGATACAAAGACACGTTGAAAGCTTCTCTAAAGTCCCTGGATATTAACACCATCTCTTGGGAACTTCTGGCGCATGATCGACCGACATGGCGCACCTTGGTGTACCAGGGTTGCCAGACATATGAACACAGAAGGACAATCTTGGCACAAGAGAAGCGAGCACTCCGCAAAGCCAGAGCTGCAAATGCTGAAGTAACATTTCTTTGTTCATTTACATTTCTTTGTTCAGTATGAGGCAGAACATTCCGTGCTAGCATTGGCCTTATTAGCCACCTAAGGACACATCGTTGATGGCCCATAACCCACAAGATGTCAAGGTCTTCATCGAAATCGATGGACGAACAACACCTGAAGGTGTTCACACCTTCAGGTGTGGTGGCTCTACTTTTAGGCAGGTAGATGCTGGAATGATGTGCTCACCACACCAACTCCCTTACGCTAATCTTAGAAGACGCTGTCTCATCGAAAGTCTGGAGGCAAAGTTCAACCACCAGCTTATTTGCATCCTGCACGCAAAATAGAACACGTTGCTTGTTCACTGAGATTGACTTGGAACCTGGATTCTGAAATCAACACAGGCTGCCAAGGTGTTCCGAGCGCCAACAGTTAGGCTGCCGCTGCCAAGCACATCTGTGTCTAAGGCTAAAGTGTGTTTCCTGCGCATTGCAACTCAGCCGGTGGTCCTGCTGGCCTCAAAGAGAGGAAGCACACAGATCACTACCTAGGGTGGCATTTAATAAGCCAAGGGCCTTTAAATAATTAACTGAGGACCAACACCACCCTTGGCTCACCAAATGTCAGCCAAACAGCTCCGTGGCCTTTCTCCTGTGCCTTATTGACCGTCGCTCTTAAAGCGCGCCTTTCATAACGGCTTAAAGGGCGAACGGAGAGGGGTGGGTGTGACACGGAGGTAGAATCAGTGCTGCAAGCAGTGGAAGATCAAGAACAAAAAAAAAAAAGTTGTGTGTGTTTGTACATCGTTCTGCTTTGACAGCGTATGCTGCGATGGCTGCCGTTTTTGCCTTAAATGGATTTTTTTTTCATTGCAACAATTAAAAAAAAAAAATTAGCACACACTCTGGAAACTATTAAGGAGGAGCTGTCTTCGCCCACTTTCTCTTACACAAACTATCTAAAACTTGCTCCTGCTCTGGAGTTCAGCCCCTCCCTCCTTGGATTCTGGACCACCTTCCCTCACATTAAGGAGAGAAAACTAGTTTGATGTAGTAGTTCAGGCATCAGGGTAGAAACCAGGAGACTGAATTCTAGTTCTCCTTTAGGTGCAAAATCTGCTGGGTGACCTTGGGCCAGTCCCTATCCCAGTGGTGACGAACCTGTGGCACGCGTGCCAGAGGCAGCACTCAGAGCCCTCTCTGTGGGCACATGCGCCATGCCCCAGAGATGGCAACCATCCCTTTTCAACCAGCTGCCTGCTAACTCGGCGAGGTCCCACATGGACGGATGCATCCCAGCACCCGTGTGCTCGCTGGCCTCTGTGTGCAGGGGCCGATGGTGTCAGGCAGCAGCCGTCCTGGCCCCTGCCTCGCCTTGCCCTGTGACAATGGCACCCCCGCCCTGCCTCGCCTTGCCTCGCCTCACCCTGCAGGACGAGCCTCCTGCCCACTGCCCCACCTGCCAGAGACCCCCTGGATCTCCCCCAACCCTGCCCAATCCCCACAGGCATCCCTCCCCATGAGCAACATCAAGGTGACCATGCCCACCTTGGCCACACCCACCCAATCTGCCATGACCACCACAGCCATGCCCATCTAGTAAGCCATGCCCACCTGGCACCTGGCGATAAATAAGTGGGTTTTGGGTTGCAGTTTGGGCACTCAGTCTCTAAAAGTTCGCCATCACTGGAATAGAATGTAGAATAGAATAGAATAGAATAGAATAGAATAGAATAGAATAGAATAGAATAGAATAGAATAGAATAGAATAGAATAGAATAGAATAGAATAATTATAGAACAGAATAGAACAGAATAGAATAGAATAGAATAGAATAGAATGCAGAATAGAAATAAGAATAGAATAGAATAGAATAGAATAGAATGCAGAATAGAAATAAGAATAGAATAGAATAGAATGTAGAATAGAAATAGAATAGAATAGAATAGAATAGAATAGAATAGAATAGAATAGAATAGAATAGAATAGAATAGAATAGAATAGAATAGAATTGCAGTTTGGGCACTCGGTCTCTAAAAGGTTCTCCATCCCTGCCCTATCCCTTAGCTCCAAGAAGGAGGCAATGGCCAAACGCTTCTGAATTCTTGCCAATAAAACTGCAGGGACTTGTCTTGAAAACCCCCTAAAAACTGTGGAGATCCACCTCTCATCTCCCTCCTCTATCATCCCTTAGGGGGGAAAAAAGGAGAAATGCCTTTAACTATGTCCTTAAAAGTAAAACAGCACCTTTAGAAACTGAAGGTTAAATAAACTGTAGCTGAACTGTGTCCTAGAGGGACACGCATTCTTAACTTTGTAGAATAAGTTAAACTATTTATGTAACCTTTCTTTGAAATGCTCACATCCACTTCTGTTAACCGGTGTCCACTAATCCTGTCCATGTATTTTACAAACAGGGTTTCCTTCTACTTGCTTTTTCTTCTAAATTTTTGCATCTAGAGCCTCTTCCCCCCCCCCTCTTTGTTTAAACAAAGTCTGTTGAAAGCTGTTACAACTCATCCAACAGGTATTTAGCAACCGTCAACTTAAAATCCCTTCTGTTTTGCCTAAAGGAGGAGGAAGCCATAGTGTGGGGTGCGAAAATATTCCCAGGTGAAAAGTTAATTGTAGAAAGAGAACTTGTTGCTTCATCTCCAAGTTTCTCTTTGTTCGGGGCCCATCACAACGCAAGCTAGGATAAACAGAACATAGTTCTTTGTGGTCACAGGTGAAGGCTGAAATGGAATTTAAGCGTCTTTGGGTGTACAAACACGTAGATTGTAGCAGAGATAAATAGGCAGTTCCAGTTGACCAGAATTGCCAATCGTTGGAACATTTCTTTAAAAAAAAAAAATCTAGAAGAAAGAAAGAACATCAAGAACTGAGACTTACAAAGAAAAAGGAACGATGTTTGCTAATGAAATGTTAAATGTTGTACGATTGGGTTCACGCTGTGCTCTTGGCAACGTAAAATATTGAACTTGGTTGTTTTCAAACCGTCTTGGGAATTTTTAACCTGTTGTATCACTGTAAAGTAGAGAAAGCCGGTTTGGTTTAGTAGTTAAGGCAGCGGGCTAGTAAGCAGGAGATCGTGAGTTCTGGTCCCGCTTTAGCCATGAAAGCCAGCTGGGTGATCTTGGGCCAATCACCAGCAGACTGAGAGTTCTAGTCCCACCTTAGCCATGAAAGCCAGCTAGGTGATTTGGGGCCAATCACCAGGTGATTGAGAGTTCTAGTCCCGCCTTAGTCATGAAAGCCATCTTGGTGACTTTGGACCAATCACCAAGAGACGGAGGGTTCTAGTCCCGCGTTAGTCATGAAAGCCAGCTAAGTGATTTGGACCAATCACCAGGAGACTGTGAGTTCTACTCCTACCTTAGTCATGAAAGCCAGCTGGGTGATCTTGGGCCAATCACCACCAGACTGAGAGTTCTAGTCCCACCCTAGCCATGAAAGCCAGCTAGGTGACTTTGGGCCAATCACCAGGTGATTGAGAGTTCTAGTCCTGCCTTAGTCATGAAAGCCATCTAGGTGACTTTGGGCCAATCACTAAGAGACAGAGAGTTCTAGTCCCGCCTTAGTCATGAAAGCCAACTGGGTGACTGTGGGCCAATCACCAGTCAATTCTGAAGAAGCTTCTTGGATGGGAAGCGAAACGTTTTCAGAGAAAAATCCAAGAAGGGCCAGTTGCCTTTTGGAAAAGCACCTTTGGGACACTTGGAGAAATAGCTCAGCAAAGTTCAGACTGATCAATATTTGGGGGTGGACAGTAGTCAGTTTTATGGGGAAGTTAAAGGGGGCAAAAAAAAAAAAAAGATCCATTAGAAAGCTATGCAAACCATTTTCTTACACTTCTTAAAGAGGTGTCCACATCATTACCACGACCTGAACTCGATTGAAAAGGAGACTGTAATAAACCACGTTGTCAATCTCTGTTGAAAAAAGATGTCTTTTTTAAAAAAAACAGGTGGAATTTGAATGGCTGCGGCAGTTCTGGTTCCAGGGGAAACGGTACAGAAGGTGTACTGACTGGTGGGACAAGCCCATGGCAGACCTGGAAGAACTTTGGAGACAAATGGAGCTCGTGGTATGTTCTTCTCAAGGCCTTCTTAGGCTCTTAGGACTTATCTTTACCGTTGCTTCCAAATGATTAAGTGGCAGGGATGAGCCACCTCGAACCACGTGGCCTCCAATCAGGCCTAAAGCTCAGCCTTGAAATTCAGCGGCCCATAAGCTAATTCTCCCATTTTTTGCCCTTTAGAATAAGAGGGGAAATAGTCAACTGAAGCTTCTTTGAAAGAACCATTGCAGTGAGACAAAACCACTAACCCAGCCTCTCACAGGCTGAATTCCACCATTAACCCGTCTCCATGCCAATGGTTTATTCTGGGTTGTTTTTTTTTTTTTAAAAAAAAGTTCTGACTCGGATAATAACAAAATCATCTGTTCCTTTGGTACTGTATCAAAGAATTAGGAAGGTACCTTATTTGAAAAGTCATAAGGGAGGCCCTTGACTCTGGCCTGGGAGGACATCCTGAATGACTTGCTGGGTTAGAAGGACCTCTGCCACATCTCCATGGGGAGGCTGAATTGACCCCATGAAAAATACGCTACACCGATGATCTGATTTCATTGGAGGCCATCTTTGGCCTCTCTGGGGAGTTGAAAGAGACTTTAGAGAGCATCTCGTCCAACCAGAAGTTGTGGGTGCTCCATCATGGAGGTTTTTAAGGAGAGACTGGACAACCCTTTGTCTGAAATGGTATAGGGTTTCTTGCCTGAGCAGGGGGTTGGACTAGATAGCCTCCAAGGTCCCTTCCCACTCTGTTATTCTATTCTATTCTGTTCCGTTCCGTTCCATTCTGTTCTATTCTGTTCTATTATGCTTCTACTGTTTTCTTCTCTTCTCTTCTCTTCTCTTCTCCTCTCCTCTCCTCTCCTCTCCTCTCCTCTCCTCTTCCCTTCCCTTCCCTTCCATTCTATTCTATTCTCTTCTGTTATGCTTCTACTCTATTCCTCTTCTCTTCTCTTCTCTTCTCTTCTCTTCTCTTCTCTTCTCTTCTCTTCTCTTCTCTTCTCTTCTCTTCTCTTCTCTTCCCTTCCCTTCCCTTCTCTTCCCTTCCCTTCCATTCCATTCCCTTCCATTCCATTCTGTATTCTATCATTATTCTATTCCATCCTATAGCTTAACTTCCTGTGAAATTTGAAACTTAGGATGGGTAAACCTCTTTCTCTCTACCTCGAGTTGTCATTGCCAGAATGGCCCCAATCCTAAGAAGAGCAACTACAGAAGGCATCGTTCACAAGCTTGTCCCTTTCTGCAGCCCACTTGAGACCCCATCCATTCATGCCACGTTGGGTTCAGTGGAATGCGATTCTGGAAGGCAGCTGCCTCCCAGTGTCCATCAATCATGCCCACGCCTGTCCTGATCCCAGTTTCTCATTTACAAGCGGTTGCACCGTCCCATGGTCCCGTGATCGACTGGTGATCTTCTCAGTTGGTTTCCCACCAGCAACGTCAAACAGGGAAGCCAGATTTGCTTAAAGATCACGCAGTTCATTGAACAGCCTTGCGATTCACTTAATGATGACCGTGGCAAAAGTTGGAAAATCAAGTCTGGTCACATGAGGACTTGTTTAACAACTGCGTCGTTTAGCGACTATCTGTACCTAGATTCTACTTCGGGTAGAAGGGCCCCTGTGTGTATTGTCAATTTTTGCCCTCTGCTCCCTCCTAAAGATCTTTGAGAGCACCTGGGCAGTGCAGAGAACAAATTTTTCAGAGAGGGAGCTGTCAAAAAGTTCAGACAACACTTTTCCAAGAGTTCTGCCCCCCCCCCTCTTTCTTTCTCTCTCTTTCTTTCTCTCTCTTTTTTTTCTCTCTCTCTTCCCCTTCTCTCTCCTCTCTCTCTTTCTCTCTCTCTCTTTCTCTTTCCCCTCTCCTTTCTTTTTCTTTTTCTCTCTTTCCCCTTCTCTCCCCCCTCTCTCTGTTTCTCTCCTCTCTCTCTCTTTCCCCTCCTTCCTTTCTCTCTCTTTCTTTTTCTCTCTCTTTCCCCCTCTCTCTCCTTTCTCTCTCTCTTTCTTTTTCTCTCTTCCCCCTCTCTTTCTCTCTCTCTCTCTGTTTCTCCCCTCTGTTCCCTCTCCCTCCTCTTTCTCTTTCTCTCTCTTCTGTTTCCCGTCTCTCTTTCTCTCTCTTTCTTTCTCTCTTTCCCCTCTTTCCTTTTTCTCTCTCTCCTTTCTCTCTCTCTTTCTTTCTCTCTCTCTTCCCTCTCTCTCTTTCCCCCCTCTCTCTCTTTCTCTCTCTTCTGTTTCCCGTCTCTCTTTCTCTCTCTTTCTTTCTCTCTTTCCCCTCTTTCCTTTTTCTCTCTCTCCTTTCTCTCTCTCTTTCTTTCTCTCTCTCTTCCCTCTCTCTCTTTCCCCCCTCTCTCTCTTTCTCTCTCTTCTGTTTCCCGTCTCTCTTTTTCTCTCTTTCTTTCTCTCTTTCCCCTCTTTCCTTTTTCTCTCTCTCCTTTCTCTCTCTCTTTCTTTCTCTCTCTCTTCCCTCTCTCTCTTTCCCCCCTCTCTCTCTTTCTCTCTCTTCTGTTTCCCGTCTCTCTTTCTCTCTCTTTCTTTCTCTCTTTCCCCTCTTTCCTTTTTCTCTCTCTCCTTTCTCTCTCTCTTTCTTTCTCTCTCTCTTCCCTCTCTCTCTTTCCCTCCTCTCTCTCTTTCTCTCTCTTCTGTTTCCCGTCTCTCTTTCTCTCTCTTTCTTTCTCTCTTTCCCCTCTTTCCTTTTTCTCTCTCTCCTTTCTCTCTCTCTTTCTTTTTCTCTCTCTTCCCTCTCTCTCTTTCCCCCCTCTCTCTCTTTCTCTCTCTTCTGTTTCCCGTCTCTCTTTCTCTCTCTTTCTTTCTCTCTTTCCCCTCTTTCCTTTTTCTCTCTCTCCTTTCTCTCTCTCTTTCTTTCTCTCTCTCTTTCCCCCCTCTCTCTCTTCCCCCTCTCTTTCTCTCTCTCTTTCTCTCCCCCTCTCCTCTCTCTCTCCCTCTCTCTCTCTGTTTCAATCTGAGTTTTTCCTCCTTATAAGTTGCGGTGTGCTGGGCAAAGGCCAAGGAAAGTTGTCGGGTTGTTACTTTATCTCTGCTGTGTGTCAGGAACATGGAAAAAACTCTCGTGGCCAAGGAATTTTCAAGGGCTGTGTTCTTTACAAACGGGGTGGGTCTAATTAGAAACAGGAGCTATCGCCTTTCAGAGGGACTGGAGGTGATATTTATCAGTGATCTGGGAAACCTTTTTTTTTTTTTTTTTTAAATGACCAAGCTCACAGAAGCTGCTTTTAATTTAAATCTTAAAAAAGAACAACTTCATGACTTTGAACGCATGAAATCGTGGTTAATCGGAGCTGTTGCGAAACAAGCGAATCCTTGTTTGCAAAGTTTGTTGGTTTGAGCCAAATCCTTAAAATACATTTTCTTGCTAATTATCCTTAGACTTCTGATGTTCTCTCTTAAGTATTCCTTTTCATACCTGTCCTAAGTCCCAAACACTTAATAATATATTTTTCTTTAATGTAGCTTTACAGCAGGGGGCAGTATTGAGCTACAGTCTTTAGGAAACTGCGGGAGAAACTTAATGCTTTTATATATTGGGATAAGTATCAAAAATTTAGCTGTTTCTTCAAGTTAACCATAATCTCTAAGACTTTGTAATACAGGAAATCAGTTGTGGACTAACAAATTCAACAGCAATTCAGCAGAGAAAGTGCAGTATATTGGAACAGATCTGGTTTCTGTAGAATTAAAGATTAAAAAAAAAAGAATGCTTCACATATAAATATAACATCTTTGTTTACATGACTGCCCGGAGATTTTTAAAACGTTATAAAAAGTAGCTTCCATCCTCACCTGCCTCTTAAAACAAAATCACTTCTTAGCAGAAGACAAAAATAATTTAAGGTACAACTAATTTATTCTCTTATACAGGAAGAACAAATTTTCGCATTCTGTCCGTATATTTATAGGCTGCCACCATAAAACAGTGTTTGATATTCCTGTGATTTGTGACATTTATGGATTTATTTTTTTTTTAAAAAAATGAAACCGAGTGTCATTTCATTTTATTTTTGACATGTTAATACAGCTTTTCTGAAGAATCCACCACTGTCCACTCTGAGATTCCGTGTAAAAAAAAAAAAGTCTACTTCTCCCCTACATTACACATACGTGTTATTATTTTATTATTCCAATGTTTATTCCTGGCATTTCTTTCCCTTCAGGGGAAGCTCCGCTCGCCGGGCTAGCTCTTGTGATGTAAATGCTAAACCTTTTATTTGAATGACATTCTGATAAAAATCCATTTGGTCTTCTGCTCCCTTCCTCTATTATGAGGCGGTGAATTGCAAAAGGTGAAAGCCAAAGTAGGTTAAACTTTGGGTCTCCTCCGTTTTTGTTTTTGTTTTTTCTTCCTACCCCTTGTCTGTTTAAAAAAAAAAATTAAAAAAAAGAGAGATTGGGGCGGACGCGTGCGTGTGCATAGAAATGTATGCAGCGATGTATTAATTTTACTGAGCGGGATTCGCACTTTATCACGCTGAGCATCCAGGCGAAGTTCTCGGCCGATTCAAAGGCAATGTTTCCATTTGAAAAGAGGCTGGAAAACCATGGGTTTTCCAAGTCTGGCTGAAAGGCAAGACATTTCCTATAATGCCGAAGCGGTGCTGAGATGCAGTACAGAGACCTCTTGAGTCTCAGGGTCCAGCTTGCAGTGCACAAGCTCACCAAACTGACATTTATCTTCCCTATAAAAATGTTTATATCGTTGTGCTGAAGCCTGGAAAGATGTGAGAGGCAATAAACAAAAAAACAAAAAACAAGGAGTCTGTTTGGGCGAGAATGAGAGCTGGACAAAGAGAAATATAAAATCTGTCTGTGTCTGTGTGTCTATCTGTGTGTTTGTGTGCGTGTGGAACCCCTCCCTGTGAATTTCAAATAAGCTTGGGCTAAAATAATACTTTGCTTGCTAAGCCAAAGGATAGAGAGGAGAGAAACAGAATTGCACAGAATTGTTTCACGCAGATTTGGGGAAGGGGAAAAAAAAAATTTTTGCCCAGCCCAGTG